GTATCTAGTAAATGGAACCGTCGGGTCCAAATATAATTATGGAACCGTTCGAGTTCGGTTCTGTTCGGTTCGGTTCGGGTCCGTTCGGTTCTGTACTATAATTAAATTTTTTAACATTTATAACAACATTATATAAATACAACTAATGATACATTTAATGGTTTTGGAATGTCAGAGACTGGTAAACTACCTTGTTCAAATGATCGCTACGATCAAAGTTTCGGTTGGCGAAGGTCACAGCTTCGATCGGAGGTCACAGTATCGGCCGATGATTGTATAGGTTTCGAAATATTAGCAAGGCTGCGAGAGTGAGTGCGAGAGTCAAGACAATGTTATGCATTTTAGTGTTGGTGTTTAGGGTTATTTAGTGGATTTGATCTTGCTTGGCTAAGAAATGAAACAATAAAATGGGTAATTGGATCAAAAATTAAAAAATTAGAAATGAAACAAATTATTTGGCCAAAAATTTGAATTTAGAAACCGTTAATTTGTTAATTTGTTTAGAAAAAATTAAAATTAAAATAATTTGATTTAGTCAATATAAAAAAAAAAATAGAAATATTCGGTTCTTATTCGGTTCTTCGGTTCTTGACCAAGAACCGAGAACCGAACCGTACCCGTCGGTTCTCAATTCAGATACCCGTTCGGGTATTTAATTTGACAAGAACCGTCGGGTTCTGTTCGGTTCGGTTCGGGTTCGGTTCGGTCGGATCGGTTCAGGAGATTTGCCCAGCCCTATATGAAGTCAATTTTTTTTTGACATAAAAATTCCTAATAAAATTTTTTTTTCTCAAACTATTTTTTTGCAATTTTAAAATCATCAAATAATTCAACTATTATGCAATTTATTTGTCCTCCTTCCTTTTGCTCAATTTCGCCTAATATTGTTTTCCTTAGAAAATGGCTATCAAACACCAATAGTTGGAAAATACATACAATTTCCATGGAAAACGAAGTCAATCAAACACTAAAAGATGGAAAATGTCAACATTTTTCAGGTGGAAAATTTTACCAATCAAATGCATTTAATTGTCAATTCCCAAGAAAACAAATTTTATGCATTTCAATTCCCTTGAATTCGTTTTCTTTCCACACAAATTTCATATTTGCAATCAAACACACCCTTAGTGAAGTTATTTCTCAATCTATGGCCAACTTGTGTTGATTTTTTTAGGATTCATTTGACGAGATTGTAGAAAAATTTCTCGAGAAAGTTATCTTAGATCGGTTTCTTCTAAAAGTTATTCCAAAAAATTATACAAATAAGATCAAAGAACTTCTTCATCTATCGTACGCTAGTCAAATCCTTAAATCATCTACGTCATCTCGAAGCTCATTTTGAGAACTATATCATATACACAACGAATTGTTTAAACAAATATCGAAAATAGTTAAACATGCATCAAACGTGCGTGTTAAAAAGATGTATAACTCGTATTTTCTTTAAAAATTTTCAATTATTTCATTAACATTTATTATTTTTGTGCGATAAATTTCTCAGTATAATATACATCATTTTATTAGAAATTTTACATCGGATATGACATCAAAAAAATTTTAATGTAAAAATTTTATCAAGAGTTTTCAGGAGAAAATTTTACATCGGATATGAAACTTTTCCTAAAAACTTAAAGAAAAGTCGAGTTACACGTCTCTTTTTAACATGCATGTTTGATTTACGTCTATCTATTTTTTATGTTCATTTAAACAATTCGATATGTGTATGATGTATTTCTTGAAACAAGTTTCGAGACATAGGCAATTTAAGGATTCGATTAGCGTACAATCATCGGCGAATTTTTAAAGTTAGCATATTATCGAAAGTTTAGAAATATTAATTTGAAACGGCATACTTTGACGAACCGTAACATTTGCTATGATTGACTATTTCGTGCGCCGCTAATGGCTTAGAAAACTAGATAGTGAGCACTTTAAAATGATATTAAGAAGGCAATATTTCGACTTCGTTTGGTATCCCGTAATTATCCTGAAAATTGAGATTTTGAAAATGAGCTGATGGGCCTGGTCACCAAGCTTTGTTCTTTCTTTTTCTTTTTTAATGATTGAAACGCTCAAAAATTTTCACACCCTTGCCTTTTTCTTTGCCCGTCACAACTCTTCAAAATCCTATCAAGCCCCTGTAAAGCCAACCCCCGTACAAGAAGCTTTATATTCTTATTCAATAAGAAATTTATCACAGAAGTTTGAAATTGTCAATTTAAATAAAAACAAAAAAGGAACAAATAAGCAGTTCCTATGTAGTTATATTACATGAATTGATCATGAAATAAATATTATAATTTATTATTATTATTATTGAGGTCACATCTTACCTTAATTAAAGATTGCTTAATTTTCTTCTTCATAGACGAGTATTATTTATTATAACGAATATGTTATAAAATGAGAGGAAAAGGGAATAGAGAAAACTCAAAGAACTTTTGTGTGTATTATTGAAAACCAAAGCCCTATATTTATAGGTAAGAATCAGGGATACAATGGTAATAATTTTTAGGGCTACAGGGGTACAAATGTCATTCACCAATAAACTTTAATGGACTTTCCATTTACAACACTCCCCCTTGAATGACATATTACAAAATATATGCCTCGTTAAAACCTTGTTTGATAAAAACCCAATGGGAAAAAAATCAAACGAAGGAAAAAGAGTACAGTTATTTTGGAGTATTAAAATTAAATGCTGCCTCATTAAAACCTTATTAGGAAAATCCAACGGGACAAAACCTAAGCGAAGGAAAAAGAGTACAGCTACTCCCCCTGATGTTGATCACTGAAAATCTTTGAGTCGACGTATTCCAATCTCATGAACTAATTTCTTGAATGTAGATGTTGACAGCACTTTTGTATATAGATCAGTCACATTCTCACTCGAGCGAATTTGTTGAATATCA